GCTAGCCATACCCTTACTGGGATTTGAACCTGGGCTATATTACATACTAGGCAGAGATCTTAGCCATTAGGCCTAGATACCTTTCACCCTGGCTTCGCTGATAACGGATAAGAGCCTGTGGCCTTATATATATATATATGGATTTTTTGTTTTTAATCTCAGATTCAGTTTGGAAAGGGAAGTCACAATTGTTTTAGTAGGAAAGGTAAAACAATATCACATGCCTCATAATGTCATTGGACAATGATACGATATAACATGGTATCATGTGTGGCATATTTTGCTCCTGTGTTCTTCCCCCCAAACTTCCAAACATGGCCTTATCTGCAAAAATATGTATAGTATTCAAATCTGCAAATGAGCTCTCAATAATATCAACAAAAAGCCATTATGTAAGAAAAACACCATATAAAGTATCATATCTAGGGTGCTTTTGATATCAAATCACAACACTTCTATTTGACTAAGTGCAGACTTGATGAGAATTAATGAACTGAGGCTAAATCTCAACAAAATAGAGCTATTATAAATATGTAATTCCTGTGTGAATTAAGCAGATGCCCTGTTTTGAAGGGTTAGGATACACAGTATGTACAGGTGTTTCTAAGAAGTTTTAACTTTCAATGAAAGTAACATGTTATCTAGCAAAATGTATCTTTTTCTCTTGTTCCTGGATAACATTAACCTGGCTTTAGTATATATTTTTAGTGGCAATCTTAAGAATGGGTTACAGCTATTAGAGTGGAATACCTTACCTATTCATTTATGGTTGTTGTTATCCATGGCAGTTTGGAACTTGCTTAAGACATTATATTCACCAGGAATTTTGAGTAAATCATTGGTGAGGCACCTTCTATTCTTTTTCCTTCTTAAGTATTACGGTATGTTCACACCTGGATTGGTTTTTTATTGTTCTGTGCTTTGGGGATTTCTTTTTTCAATGAAATGGATGATAAATTGCAAAAATAAGTTATATTACTCATTGTCAGTTTCAGTTACACTTATTTGGAGTTTTTATATAATGTAATGGGTTACATTAATAGTTTATAATTGCATGTAAAAGTGGTAATTCATACAAAAAATATTTGACTCACTTTTTTTCCCTTGCAGTGCCTTAGCTGCAGGGGATGAAAGGGTTTTTAAAAACGCACAAATATGGGGATGACAGAGAACAGTTTAACCATTAAAAAAACACTTTCCCTGTTTTCTTGCCATCTAATTCTATTGCTGTCCTTGAACAGCTGCAATGAACTGCTACTCCCATAATTTCTGCAGCTAGGACTGATAGGAATTGTAATACAATCCTGCTTGCGGCGGAGGTTTGCATTCCATCGGACACAAATTTCGTAGGAAGGGTTTTACTTAACTAAGAAGAAACACAACACCCCAAACTAGTTTTATATTTCTAGAGAAAACTACGCCAATCATGGGGTAGGGAGGAGCCGCGGCAGGTCACCGACTGGAGAACGTCTGGTTTGATTGGGGGAATTCGATGCCAATCGAAAACTGCGATTGGTGGCTTTGGATGTCACTCTTTTTCTCTGCCTCCTTCCGTGCTCCGCCGCAGCCAGTGGAGCCAGGCGAAGGGAGCTCAGAAGGTGGTGGCGTCTTACTAGAGGTCGCAGAACGGAGGCGGGCAAGCAGCATGGCAGCAGCGTTAATGCTCCGAGCCTCCGTTAGTTTGCTGCACAGGCATGGGAAAGTCTGTGCAGACTGGCTCGCTCGGGGTAAGGCAATTTGAGCTCGCACCGCTGGGCGAGAGAATGTAAATTGGCTCGCGGCGTCTTGTAGGAGAATCGAAAAGGTGTTCGGCCCTCCTGGAAGACAAACATGTTGCAACTGTTAACCCTTTTCCTTGTCACCTCGCAAAAGTTGGGGTTCCTGTCCCGTGGCCAAACTTACTAGCTTGTCCTTCAATGTGTAGATGCCCGCCTGGGCAGGAATTGCATGGCCGTAAGGCAAGGGGTATTCAGGAAATAGAGGGCGAGGGGATGTGCTTCTCCAAATCTTTCTGCTTTTAAATCTTCTCAAGTATGCCTTGGCACGCGAGGTGATGAGTAATGCCTTCAGAGAAAGTCTAGTTTTGCACTCGTTAAGTCTTTGCATATCTATTTAAGCCATGGCAATTGTAACATTTATACAGGAATCCTACCTGACCTTTTTGGGTGTTAAAAGGCGGTCCATCTAAAACAGCATATGGGAAGTCACAAAAGTTTGTGTAACATCTGTATTCTAATGTAGCACCTTAAAATTAGTTACGGTTAATGTTCGTATTTGCCTTTTCCCATAAATTTTTTTTAAGAAGAAAAGGAGATTTTGCTTAATTGATGAAGTCGAGATATTTTGCCTATGTAAATCATTGTATGGGTTGAACTTATGCATGTTCATTGTTTGGGATAAAGTATCAATTTATAGATTTTTGCAACATAAATTAGTTTGAAGTAGATATACATATATTCACAAAATAGTTATTACTACTATAAGTTTAATGGATCCTGCTCCCAAATGGTGAATTTGGACTATACTTCTATATTTGTTCACTCAAAATTTGTGTCTCTTTATGTGTTTAATAAGAATATATTTCTAATGAATACAGTCTTATAATAGAACCCTATACTTGACCATTCAAAATCCCATTGAAGCATTTTCTCAAAGTGAGATAAAGACTTCAGCTTCTGTCTTTCATCATTAAACCAAGAATTATAATTCAATGTCCTATGTACGGCTGTCTTAAGTGGGTAACTATTGCAGCAGTAGCAGTATAAAACACTAAATAATACTGTCCATTCTACATACCTATCTTCTCCCTGGACAACATAGTATGTTCTCCCTGGACAATATAGTAACCAAACATTCCCTTGTTATGAAGAGAGTTTATATATTTATATGTTTTAAACGCTTAACTCTAACCATTTTTTGATCATCAAAAGCTGTACGTTAACTTCTTTAATAGTGGGAATGCTATTATTTTTTCAAAATCTGATGACTATTAGTACTATAGTCTAAATGATTTTAAGTCTTTTAAAACTAAAACAATTGACTTTATTTGGTTACATTAAAGTAAATTTGTTTTCCATAAACCTTTTTAGAGGGAAACATATTACTTTTATTCAAATGTCATCTATTATATAAATCACATGCTGTTTTGGGGGCATACATCAGCTGCTTTCAAAAATGAATATAAATATGTAATAATAATTACATATTTTGTAAGGTTTATGTGGAAATTTACAGGAAGCATTAGCCCATAGACCAGTGGTTCTCAACCTTCCCAATGCCGCGACCCTTTAATACAGTTGTGGTGACCCCCCAACCATAAAATTGGTGTCAGTTCCTAAGACCATCGAAAATATGTGTTTTCCAATGGTCTTAGGTGACCCCTGTGAAAGGGTCATTCGACCCCAAAAGCGGTCCCGACCACAGACAATGGTGCAGTGGTTAGAATGTAGTATTGCAGCTAACTCTGCCTACTGTCAGAATCCTGACTGACTCAAGGTTGAGTCAACCTTCCATCCTTCCGAGGAGAGTAAAATGAGTTGGTGGCAATATTCTGATTCTGTAAACCGCTTAGAGAGGGTATTATAGCGCTTTTTCTTTTTGTTGTTGTTGTTGGTTGCAAAGTCATGACCAACCCATCTCAACTCCATGTACAACACTCCTCCAGGCCTTTCTGTCCTCCACTATTCTCTGGTAAGCTCATACCTACTGCTTCAGTGATTTCATCCAGCCACCTCATTCTCTGTCATCACTTCCTTCTTTTGCCCTCACTCTTTCCCAGCATTAACCTCTTCTCTAGTTAGTCCTTTCTTCTCATTAGGTGGCTGAAGTATTTGAGTTTCATCTTTAGGATCTGGCCTTCTAAAGAGCAGTCAGGGTTAATCTCCCATAGGATGACCAGTTTGATCGCCTTGCAGTCCAAGGGACTCGCAGGAGTGCTCTCCTGTGCCATATTTCAAAGGCCTCAATTCTTTGGCGCTCAGCTTTCTTTATGATCCAACTGTCACAGCCATATATTGCAACTGGGAAAACCATAGCCTTAACTATATGCATTTTTGTCTCTACTTTTTAGTATGCTGTCTAGATTTGCCATAGCTTTCATCCCCAGGAGCAAGGTCTTAGCTGCAGTCCCCATCTGAGATAATCTTGGGAACCCAAGAAAATAAAATCTTTCACTACCTCCATTTCTTTCCCATATATTTGCCAGGAATTGAGAGTGCCAGATGTCATGATCTTAGTTTTTTTAGTTTTCCTAACCCTAGCTTTCTATTAATAATAAATTAATAAAAGGTTAATAAAATTATTATGGTTCCACATATTGCAATTCCAAATCTGATTGGTCCCAGTAAGCACATCAGACTTTTTCTGAGTAAAATAAAAAGGAATAGAATGCTAAGATAAATATTGTAAATATTACTCTTTATTGCAACATTTTGTTGCAGAATTCATTGATTGGTAAATGCAGCTCTTTGTTGGGTACTTTATTGATTTTTTTTATTGTTAAATAATCTTATAATCATCAGTTTTGAGGCTACTTTATCGGAATCTCAAAATAAAAGCTATTGCCATAATATATTATTTCCATATATAGCAATAAACTCAATTTTCTTGCTTGAAAATTATTGAAAATGTTATTCTTATTTATTTATATTTCATATCCACAAACACCTGATATTTTCCCCACAATAATCCTGTGAGGTGAGTTGTGCTAAGACAGAATGATTGGCCCAAGGTCACCCATTTGGCTTTCATAACTAAGATAAGAATTGAATTTACAGTGTCCCACTTTCTACTCCTTAATAGAGAATATTAAATATTCTGTTTAATTTATTTATTTATTCAATGTATATGTCACTCATCTATCCAAGTGACTAAACAACTATAATTAATAAATTATTTCCTTAATGTTAATATAAGCCAATAAAGTAATTGGCTTAATACATAATTGTCATTAAGCATTTTGACTTTTTGTTGTACTAAGATTTTCCCCCATTTTGATAGAAAACAATTCATATTTATCTGTTTATTTAAAAAGATGGTTCATCTTTTGAATCTGTTGCTACATTTTTTTCTTTTTAATGAAAAAGATGTTGCATGTGTATTTTGTGTTTCTAGAAACCCAAACCCTGGAAATTGCACACATAGTTTGAGACATTGCACAGTACAGCTGCTGTTTAATAACTCAAACCATCTGCTGGGTAAATTAGTACAAGTATACCACCCACTCATGCAGACTGGTTTTTATTCATACGGTATATACATTTCTGGATTGGGACCTGACTACCGACTTAAAGGATCTATTTGATTTCTTCACTCTTCCTACCACTGTAAGATCTACCATTAAAAATAGTATCTTAGATACTAAACTCAGAAATAGCAAATGAACAGGGTGGTACCTCTGAGCATGGCTTCACTCATGGTATTTATTTTAATGTCAGAACTGAACGAACAATCTTTTATCCTCAAAGAACTCTGAGTTTACATAAAGAATTTTTCATTTCAGTGGCTAATTTATCATGATGAAACTTTTTTGTTTGCATTACTTATGGCATTAACAATCCTATGTGGAAAGCAGATATATCTATGTTGACAAAAAGTTTAAAATCATAGTTTCTATAAAAACATCAGATGCAACCAATTTGTTGATGAATATTTCCTAAATGCCCTGTCTACAGTATTTTTATTTAGATGAGCTGCTGGGCATGACTAGCATAGTAAATATCTTTTCAGTAAAATTTATTGATTCTGGTTCCAAGTATTATTTATCTTTTAAAAATATTTCTTTTGTTTTCCAGAAAAAATAGCAGTGAAAACTGCCAAATTCTCTGGCATCCATATAAAAAAGGGTATGTTGTTGCACAACAGGACCAAATTTATTCTTTTTTCATATACAGTATTAGGATGGATCTTGTTTACAGGTAGTTCTTGGCTTACGCATTGCAAAGCAGGATGGTTGTTAAGTGAATCACACCTGATGTTACTGCTTTTTTTTGCCATGGTTATGAAGTGATGACTAAGAGAACCTGGCTTCCACCATTGGCTTTGATTGTCGAAAGCTGGCTGGGAAGTTTGCAAATGGCAATCACATGACTCTGGGATGCTAAAACTGTAATAAGTACAATATTTAGCTGAATCACAATCATGTGACTCTGAGGATGCTGCTGTGGCCACAAGTGTGAGACTAGTTGTAAATTATTTTCTTCATCCGTTTTATACAGCAGAAGTCTTCAAACTTGGCAACTTTAAGACTTGTGGACTTCAACTCCCAGAATTCTCCAGCCAGCATAGAGAATTCTGGGAATTGAAGTCCACAAGTCTTAAAGTTGCCAAGTTTGGGGACTCTTGTTATATGGCCTGAATGAATGAATAAAAGAAAGAGAAATAGATACATTGGTGTGAGACATGGTAAGAATGAAAGTAACATGATCCTGTAGACCAGATATATATACCGTATTTTTGGAGTATAAGACGCACCGGAGTATAAGATGCACCAAGGTTTTGAAGAGGCAATTTTTTTAAAAAAAGTAGGAAGGTAGAGAGGGGGATAGAGAGATATGCAGTAGGTAGGTAGGGAGAGAAAGATAGTAGTTAGGTAGGTGGGTAAAGGGAGAGAGAGAAATACAGTAGGTAGGGAGAGAGAGAGAGAGTGTGTGTGTAGGTAGGTAGGTAGAGGGATAAAGAGAGAGAAATAGAGAAATACAGTAGATAGGTAGGGAGAGGGAGAGAGAGTAGGTAGGTACATAGGGAGGGAGGGAGAGAAATATAGTAGATAGGTAGGGAGAGAGAGAGTAGGAAGGTTAGGTAGGGAGAGGGGAAAAGAGAGAGAGAGAGAAATACAGTAGGAAGGTAGGGAGAGAGTAGGTAGGTAGGTAGATGTTTCCAGATGTATTTATCCATGTGCTGGAGAAGGAAATCGCTGACAATCTTCAGCACCTAAGACTTTGTTTCTGCTGGCACAGCATTTGATCAATCTAATTTTCATCAATCAGTTGAAAAGCTTTCCAAAAGGGGAAAAATATATTTTTGCATTCTGCTAGTGTTTTTTAAAGGCATGAATAGCCTGAGGTGAGGGGTGTGTGGCTTGCAGAATGCTCCTGGGGGAGTGAAGGGGCCAAAAATGAGTACACAGTGGCCCATTTTTTTGTGAAAACGGGCCTGTTTTTTGTCAAAAAGTTGTGTGCATAGCCTATGGAAACTTATAGAATGCTGCTGGGGGGCAAAAAAAATGGCCCATTTTTTTGCTCATTTCTGCCCTCAGCCCCCAGGAGGTCTCTGAAAGCCTCCATAAGACTTTGCACAGCCATTTTGGTGAAGCGAGGCAGAGTTTCGGGAGGCAAAAAATGCTGTATTTGATGTATAAGACACACCCAGATTTTCAGCCTCTTTTTTGAGGAAAAAGTCTTATACTCCGAAAAATACGATAGGAAACCCTTGACTTTCAACTATTTGTATAACAACTATTTTAAATTACAACAGCACTGAAAAAAATGACTTCAAACCAGTCTTTGCACTCCTATGGTCATGTGATCAAAATATGAGCACTCGGCAACTGGACATGTATTTGTGGACAGTTGCAGTGTTCTGAGGTCATATGATCACATTTGTGACTTTTCATTTGTCTTCCCATCAAGCAAAAGCAACAAAGGAAACTGGATTTGCTTAACAACTGCATGATTCATTTAGCAACTACAGTGATTTTCTGGATGCTGCAACTGTAATAATACATATTAGTTGCTAATATATATTTATTGTATTAAAACCATGGCAAATGAGGTCCTAAAATTGGGGGCGACACACTGAACAACTACATTGTTTAGCAATCAAAATTCTGGTCCCAGTTGTGCAAAAGTTTGTTAATGGTGAAAAACTAGAGCAAGTATATGAATTTGTTTATCTTGTAGAATGTTTACTAAAAGTGAAAGATTGGATAGAGAAATTTTAAGAGGTGCGAATGTGGACTGTTTATTACAGTATCTCATATCTTTAATCTTTTTCATACCATTTTATATTTCTTTCCTGAGTTTCCTATAATGTTGCTAAAGGTACAGGGCATGTGACAAATGAAACTTTCCCCCCTCTCTAAATCTTGATTTCCTGCAAAGAAGGTACAAGTTGGATTCCAAAATGCTTTGTGCTTCTCAACTCATAGGCCAGCCATATACACACACACACACCAAAGTACAGATGGGATTATGTGAGGTTTCTTCTTTTGTTCACATCCAAGGGTCTCTTCTCATGAATGTCTGCTTAAATAGTCAGGTAAATACCACAGGATAATTTTCAGACTATAGATCAAAGGGATCAAATCACACTGTGATGAGGGTTTTCCATTATGTTCCCTAAATATCATCTTTAGATCCAGGAAATTTGCCATGTGATAAGAGTTTGCAGTCATCCCAGTTTCTGGTAGACAGCTGTTACTGCTTTGAATTACAGCTGTTGGCAGCTGGCTGAATCTGTAGACAGGAAAAGAAGGAATCTGAATCTTTTATTAACTTTCCTTTTTAGGAACGTTAATTTTATAAATTTCCTTTCAGTAATATGTTCCTTGCTTTGTAAGCAAAAACAATAGATAAATGGGTAAATCTGAAATTTCGTGAAACCAAGGTAGACAGTGACCTTTAGATTCCTAAATTATCTTTTTATTTAATGTATTCATTTATATATCACATTGATTATTTTTATAAATCTGTGAGGTGACTTGGGCTGACAGACTGACGTATCATCACCCAGCTGGCTTTCATGGCTAAGCTTGGACTTGAACTCATGATCTCCCGGTTTCTAGCCTGGTCTTAACTACAAGATAAAACTGGTTCTCCATTAAAATGAAGAAGCAATAGTTTAAAACAAGTCATTGCGTTTGTGATTATTTTTATTTTTTTAAAAAAATCAGATTTAAAAGGAATGTTACATTCTTAGCTGATTTTGAATTCATAAAAGTAAGGCACCTCAAAAACACCTTAGGATTTTCATTAACTGGTTTTTGCGGTTTTGTAAGTTGCAGCGGGAGAATGGTGATTTTTGGTAGTGCAGTTTTTGATAATTAAAAAAAAAGCAAAGATCAAAGTGTGTAAAAGCTTAGCACTTATTTTTCTCTAACCATTTCAAGTACAAAATAAGAAAAAATTTCACTCATAAACTTTCATTCTAGTATCCCACTCAAACTTGCATCTCCTTTGTTTCAGCTCCTTTTCATAATCTGTTGTAGCCTTGAAATGCTTTGTATTCAACTAAAACTGGTGCTTTGGAGTTCTGAATAATCCTAGGAAATTACACAACTCCTTCAGAACATGGAGACATAGGTTAGATTGGTTCCCCAATCCCAAGAAGCGCACTGAAATTTAGGATTGATGAATTCAGTGTCAATGTCGATCTCTCTCTCTCTCTCTCTGTATATGTATATGTATATGTATATGTATATGTATACCTATACGTATATATGTGTGTTTGTGTGTGTGTGTGTGTGTGTGTGTATGTATGTATGTATGTATGTATGTATATAGGTTAAGACATCCCTAATACCCTTCAGTGTGTGTGTTCTGTTAAGATGCAGCCCGTTGTGCCTTTCAATGGCATCTGCAGTAAAATGGCTTCTACTGTACAATACACTGGAGTTGCCATGGTAATGGTTTCACAGTACTCCCATAATGGGGTTCCCTTTGATAAGGGGGAAAATCCAACATTAGAAATTATGTTTGGTCCAAACACTTCTCTCCCTATAAATAAATACCCAGAGAACGCTGGGTTATCAGCTAGTTACTTAATAAAATGAACAGTGAATGTTTCTGCTGTTGAAGTATAAGCTGCTTTTAGTATAACTAAGATATGCAACTAGCAGAAAAGAAAATTAATAAGTTTGCATTCTGGTTGATGTAAGATTAGAAAACTTTTTACTGAAACATTTGCATTTCAATTAGTGTCTTCCAGGGCAATGGCTTCCAAAACTCCAGTTGGATTTATTGGTTTGGGAAACATGGGAAATCCAATGGCAAAAAACCTCGTGAAACATGGTTACCCCATTATCGCTTGCGATGTATTTCCAGAAGCATGTAAGGAATTTCAAGAGCTGGGTACCCAGGTATAATAACATTTCATTGCTATTTTAGTTTTAAAAAATGACTGAAATCTGAAAGAGATGTAATTGTGAAATTTCTTAATTCCTTTATCATAATCAGCAATACTGTTTTTTAAAATGCATTAAGCTTCTCATTTAGAGTGTCCAGGCAACAGAATGAAGTGATAATAGTGATAATTGCAAATGCAATTTTGTTTTGAGGTGGAATAAGGCATATAGCTATCATTGAAATTACTGGGTAACAACATTCAACTTAAGGGCTGAAAATGCATTGCAAAATCTTTTCTACAGTATGAACAAAGCAATTATTGAGCAAATTTGGGCAGCTTACAGTATTATAAAAATAGCAATATAAAAGATTAAAATATTAAAACATGGAACATTGCAAGTTAATAGAACTTTGGGTAAAATAGAAACAAATATATGAACAGGGTGGAGGTGAGGTCTTCTTGTCTACTAATCTTGGGGTTAGTGGGAGACCCCAGCCATAAGCCAATAGGCAGAGCCATATTTTCAGGTCCTTTCAGAAGGCTAAGAGGGTGGAGGCAAATCTCACCTTGAGGGGGCATAATATTCCAAAGGACAAGAGCTATGGCAGAAAAAACCCTGCTCTAAGACCCACCAAGCAAATTTACTTAGCTGACAGTCTGTAGCATGCCCCTTCTACTGAAGCAAGTGGGATGGACCAATCTCTGCATGAGTAAGATGGTTCCTCAGATATCCTGGATCTGTAAAAGAATAGAATTAGAAGTAATAACCAACAATGAACTGGACTCAGAGCGAACTAGCAACCAGTGCAGCTTGTGCAATAGCAGTGTTACATGGTCCACCTTAGGGGCCCCTAGACCTGTCTGCAGAATTGCGTTGTGTGCCAGCTGTAACTTCTAAATACTCTTCAAGGTGATTCTCATATAGAGCACATTTCAGTCATCCAAATGCAAGATGACCAGGGCATGAGTAACTGAGTGCAGAGTTTTATGATGCAGGAGAGGACGCAACAGTTGTACAAAGTCTCTTCTAGCCATGACTGCTACCTGTTCTTCATTGGAGTCTAGTTCCAAATTACACTTCATGTAAATGCTGAAAATAAGTGGAAAGAGTACAGGGCTCTGCAGCACACCATAAAGGACTAGCCATTGATTAGACCTCTCACTTCTACAAACCCCAGTCGGAACCATTGCAAAACTACATCACTCATCCCCAAATTGTGTAGTTAACACAATAAGGATACTATGGTCAACCCAATAAGGATATCAAAAAGGATATCACAGTATTTGAAAGCCAAGAGGTCAAGAACAGCAAGGATGGACGCATTATTCCCATCCTAGTTGCCAGAGATCATTAATAGGGCAATCAATGTTGTTTTGTTTAATAACTAAATCTGAAACCTAACTGGAAGGAGTCCAGTTAGTTTTATAATTAAGAATTAAGAATAATCTTTATGTTTAAAATATTATTTTCATTTTCTATAATCACATATATACTGTGCAAGATTGAGGCCATATAACATTAAGCAATAAACATAACTCTTCTTATATTCCAAAATACAAAACCAACATAAC